ATATTAAATCTGAAAGAAACCTATATGCTTTAATAAGGAGCAAGTACTGTTTTTATAGTACTGTGTCTGAGCACGTGAAGTCAATGGATTTCAGCACTTCCTCCTGTTTGGTTTCATCCCTGATGTAAAACTTTCACTGATTCTGACAGAGCTATCCCCTTTATGTCTTTTAATGTCAGGAATTCACGTTCATTTTAAGACACGTTTATTTTTCGACAGGAAAAATAAAATCCTCATTCCTATTTCGGAATCAAACCAAGAACACAGCAGTTGCAATGCTGAATCCCAAAAAGGAAAGTGCGCACAATTCTTGCAACTTTTTGTCTTGAAACTGCTTTTGACCTTTCGTTTCAGTTGCAAAACGTTAGTCAGTGAGATTTTAACACCACGGAGAAAGACCCTTCAGCCCATTATATCTGGGCCAGTCATCAAATATCTCACTTCTAAACCCAGTTTCCAGCACTTGGCACTTCACCTCATTTGCTCTGATGTTTCAAGTGCTCATCCAAATATGTAGTCAATGTTTGAGGGCATCAGTGGAACAAAAACACTTTCTTCAACAAACGACAGGAAGCATTGCTGTTTGCTACAATATGAAATCTACATTTTCCTCTTTTAAGACAGCTTTGAAAGCCAAACTCTTTCTCAGAGCCGTTTGCCAGTTTTCCTCATGATGCCAACAGTGTAGAATAAAATCCCACACCGCCTGAGGTTACAACTGATGACTCTCGACTTTCAACCTCTCTGCTGACATGAGATGTGGTGTCCCTCAGGTTAAACCACCACCAGTTTTGTCTCTCTAATAAGAAAGCAGCCCGGTGACCCAGAATGTGTGTGGCGACTCAGTGTCAGACTTTGTGATATTATATCCCTGGGATGCAAAAGGCACGTTTTATACTTTATAAAATGTATAATACATGTCAGTTGTCCTGGTAAGAAGTAAAGAGAAAGATTGCTTGTACACATTACGACAAATAAAATTCAGTCTTTCCAGTGGTGGGCACTTAACCCAGAATTCCGAGCGCTATGCACTGCATTGCTTATCACTGCGCAGGCTCAGTATGTTCCCGCGTGACCACGGTCTAGAGCATGCGCAGTGGGAGCGACCCTGAGCAGCCGCAGTCCTTTTCCTCGGCTCCACAAAAGGTAACAATGAGGCGGAACGGAGGAGGCGATAGACCGGGCGGTTAGACGGAGAGGCTTTCTAAACACTTTGTGAATGTGACAGACCCCGCATAAAGAAACTATCATTCCCCGTTTCGTAAAATGTCAAAATCGAGGCTCTCTCTCAAAGGCAGGCCGTGGGTAAAGGCCGCCATATTTGTAGGAGTTTAAAGGGCAGCAGGGCGCATATGCGGTTATCCTGGGCCAGC